GAGAGAGAGAGAGGGAGAAAGGGGAGGGGAAGAGAGAGATAAGGCTCCATTAAATCTTTGACAAATAACCTGATAATAGATGTTCTTTTGCGCTTGCTCATCTTCATTCCTCCCGCGATGTGTCACTTTGTCAATTTTAAACCTTTGATAGAGAGAGAATGAAGAAAAAATAAAGAAAAAGGATAAGTAAATGTAAATTTGAGAAGATATGAAGAGCAAACGAAGGTTATTGGAAGTACTTTCTTTAAAAAATTTAATAACCTCAAAGAATTGTTAATAATGGTAACCTTCAAAAGGACAATCTCAAAGGTCATCCATAATATTAAAAATAATGATGATGACAATAATAGTAGTAGTGTTTCGGTTTTTGTTGTTGCTATTAGTGATATCTCGATTATAAGTATTGCTAATAATAGTATATAGTAGTAGCAGTAGTACTGTATGATTACTGTAATTATTACTTTCTAATTGAAATTACTAATATCACTGGAGGAATGAAATGATGTCGTAGTGTATTTGAACATTGTAAAAAACGGAACAGTGAATAGTTAAAGGTTTTAATCTAAATTAATTAATTTAGGTCTACATAAATGAAAGGTTATGAAAAGGTCATTGTTGTATTGTCTGGTTAGTGGAGTTATTTGATACTTCTAGAAGTGATTTCTTTTTTCTTCCATTTCTTTTTCTTTTTCCCTTCGACAGATAATAAAAAGAGAGGGAAAAGATCAAATATATATATATATATTATTTTTTTTTGGGGTCAAATTTTGTAGAAAGATTAGATTGTAATGTGTTGGAATGGAATAAGTTCAAAACGAAAGATCAAAAGTAATTTTAAAATTCGAAAAAAAAGTTTAAACATTTAAAAATTTGAAGATTTAAATGTTTGAAAATGTTTTTGATTATTCAAGTTTGTTTACTATTACAATTCCCATTTTTATCGATTAGTTTTATTTATTTCATTACATTTCACAAGCATAATTTTACAAAAATTATTAAACAATAAAGTTAAATTGAATAATTCTTTGAGAAAATATGCAAAAGTTACATTTGCATATATTTCTTGAGCTATTAATAATAATAATGTGTAACTTTAAATAACTTTTAATTTTTTGGCTCATATTTTAACTTGCATTCATTATTTTGCCCATAAATGAGATTGTCTTCCCTCATTTCCTGTCAATATAAATGAATATTTCACTCTTTTTAAGTTATTTTTACAAATTCTTGAAAGTTATCTCAAGCATTACAATTTCTAAATTAATTATTATTAACTTTTAAACTCTAAATTTTAAATTTTAAAATTTTATTAATTTTCAAATTAACATTAATTAGTTTGCAATTAGAGCAGAGGAAAAGAACGATGCAAAATTATATTTTAAAATAAGTTAAATGAAATACTAAATTTTAATCCAAAATAAGAAAAAATGAATTTAGTTCAAAATAAGTTAAATGGAAAAGTTTCGAAATGAAAAATTTAAATTCAAATTGATATTTTAATTTATCAATATAATACATTATAGAATAAATTAGAAGTAAATAATTATTCGTAATTTAACAACACGAATTAGCATTTTCCATGTCATTGCACATTTCATATGCAAATATTGCCAGCAAAAATTACCTTTAATTGCAACAAATTATCAATTATCATGCATGGGATGATAATTTGTTTGTTTGTTTGAATGTAAATAAAAATTATTCATTAACAGATAAATTATGAAATTGTACAAAAGGGATGAACTAATAAATATTTCCAATGCATTAAAAATTACTTTTAATTACAACAAATTATTAATTTCTAACTCAAACTTATCGTCGTGTACTAATTAATTTCATAGCATTTTAATTCATCCTATCGTATTGATTGATTTATCATTAGCTTATAATTATCAGGAATAACTTATGCTTAAATTTATCTTACTCTCTATCAACTAATTTAATATCAACTTATAACTATCTTAACATTCTTCCTTTTTTAATCACATTTACAAATGATATTTTAAATTCTCATTCCACGGTAAGATTGCTTGCTATTTTGGTAACTTTTTAAATTTACATTTTGTAACTTTTACTATCAGCTAATGCATTAATTAATAATGATACACGTCAAAATGATATACGTATTAATCTTGAAACGCATATGTTGCTCAACTGATATTCCTAAAATGTTTAAGTATCAGTTATCATGAAGTTATCATGTACAGTTTACTTAAAACCTTTTATCAAACCTAATTAATTAGACTGACATTAAATTAATTTATTATGCAATAAAAATAGCGATTGATGGTATCGATTTTTTTTAAAAATAATTTTGTAGTAATAATTAATTTTTTTTATAGTAATAATTAGGTATAAAAAAACATACTACAAATGGAATAAGTGTTAATAAAATTATTTATTTTACTTAGATTATGCTTGTTTGGCTTGTCTGATAATAACGATATCAGTGATAATTATTTTGAACACAAAAAATTGATACGTTTATCTTAACATATCAATCTCTTTGAACACGTCTATGTCAACGCGTTAGTCTGTGAACACATTTATCATAACACGTTTGATACGTTAATCTATTTGAACACGTTTGACACGTTAATCTGTTTGAACATATTTATCATAACACGTCTCACTCGTTAGTCTGTTTTGTTTACTGAAATAGTTGCTGTTGAAAGGATATTTCCAGAATTATCTTCATATTTACTCCATATATCATTAAATATATCTTAACAATATTATCAGTACACTTCATCTCACTCTCTTACATTCATTCATTATATGTTAATTAATTAATTTAATTCTCTCAAAATATTAATTGAAAATGAGTAAAGTGTCTTCTTCTTGATGCTTAGTCATATAAGCTTTAATTTAATTGTATTCGCATTTGTCACATCGCATCTTAGCTTCTCCTATTCTTACCGCTTCTTCTTTATCAACAACAACAACAATAACAACGACCATTAAATCAGCCAGGGAATTACTTTGATGATGCATAAAATTAGCATTATTTAACAGAACAACACATCTGTATTCTTAGCAAATCCGCTTCTTTTTGAATCATTTTCAATTTGGAATCCAATCTAATTTACTATTTTTAATCAAAGGGACAAACATTATCACATTCATTATCACTTTTCATACAGACATTATCACTTTTCATGCGAACATTATCACATTCATTATCACTTTTCATACAGACATTATCACTTTTCATGCGAACATTATCACATTCATTATCTACTTTTC